AAGACTGGCCGACTTGGAGAGGAGTTCAAGAGTGATAGATAGATATTGATGATCCAAGCTGAAATTGCAGTTGTAGCAGCAGCATGTACACACTAGTCCAACCGTAACCAACAATAAGTAAGGAGAATCAAACCTAGACTATTATATATATTATATATATTATATTAATATATATAGTAACCTATATATAGTATCTATATATATATATATAAAAAGCAATAAAAATCAATATAAATGTTTAAAATTTTTTTTTTCACAGGTATGAAGGGAGAAGCCGTTCTCAAACTCTAAAACGTAACCTTATGCAAGTTGCTTTTGTCTTGCCCGGTGCTCTTTTTTTGTCCTCCATTGATAGTTGGGCCTGCTCTGGAAGCACCAACATATGTTCATCCTTTCTTTTTATTGGAGTTGAAACTTGACACATGACCCCTTAAAAAAACCCAGATTCAGCGGTTTAAAGGTGAAAGCAGCCTGTCTCAGAGTTACACACAGATAATATTTTGGGAGCCAACATCCGGTTGTTGTAGTATTGATTGACTACACAAGCCCTATGTTATTTCAACTAAAATGATTAAACATGCTGTGCACACCATACAGCACGTAAAGTAACAACAATAGGCCTCATCATAGTATTTAAAAGGGACTTCTAGCGAACTGCCTCTCTACTCTAACCCCCCTCCCTCTTCCCGAAACGCTGGGGGTTCGGTTTCTGCCCCTTTTCTGAGTTAGGCGAATCAAGTCTCCATTGAAACCGTGTGCTTTCTGGACAAACAAGGGATGCTCGAGGTGTGCTCTGACAACGGCATGCGTGCGCATGCGGCAACGCGTACCACCCTTTGATCACCCAGAAATGCTATTTTGTATGTTATTTTTAAGGGGGTGAAAGCTGATGTGCGGTCCACAAGCGGGCACCTTCTATATAAACATATATGTGACTCTTTACACTTTAATCGGAGGCAGCAACGTGTGTAACGGACACACACTTGACAACACTGCAGTTTACCGCTTTACCGCTTGCATGCCACCATCGTACTCTGAATGTGCACAAAGCAACCAGGAGACGAAATATTAAACATGTCAAAAAAAAAAAAAAACATTTTGTGTTACCAGAAACAGGACGTTAAGTGTCTCCTTTTTGCCCCGGTTACCAGAAAAGATCAGCGGTACCCGTCGCGTTCAAGCCTCGGAGACCGGGCTGACCTTTGTTCGGTCTCTGACATTCTAGTCCATAAAGTTTGATTTGAACCGTTCTCCTTCCGCGAAACGATGGCGCACCCGTCAAACTGTTGCCGGAGTTCCTCACTCCTGTCTGCCGAGTGGCTGTGGTATGTTGTTGACTGTTGCAGTGGTTCTGTCATGTGTTGAATAGTTGTGGTTACTACGCTGTTGTTACCTCAAACGTTAACTCACTTACACACCGCTCGACCGTCGCGTTTTACATACCAACGCGTTAGCTCAATGCTAAACACTTCATAAGTTGTGTGCTTCGTTAACTTCCGTTTACCCTAACGTACGCTACAGACGCTTACTCCGCTTTAAAACGTGATTGACAGCCACTATTAGACTACAACATTGTCTATTTTGTAGTTTTAAATGTCTGCAAGCAGAGACACTTTACATTGGCTTAGTATAATAGCTGTGTATAGCGTCTACTAGTGCGGTACACCTCGTCACTGTAACGGTAATGTAACGTTAATGTCGTAACGCTTAATGTCTGTCGTTAATGTAACGTTAATGTAAACGTTAGATGTCTGTAACTAATGTCTGTAACGTTAATGTAACGCTTCATGGCTCTGTAACGTTAATGTAACGTTAATGAACGTTAATGTCTGTAACGTTAAATGTAACAGTAATGTCTGTAACGTAATGTAACGTTAATTTGGTTGTAACGTTACAACCAATTACGTTACAGCTTAACGTTACAGACATTAGTTACAGCATTAACGTTAATTAACGGTGTAACAACCATTAACGCTGTTCATTAACGTTACAACATTACGTTACTATTAACGTTACAACAATACGTACGTTACCGTTACATTAACGTTACAACCATTAACGTTAATGGTTGTTGTAACGTTTAATGTCCTGTTAACGTTAATGTCTTGTAACGTAATGTAACGTTAATTGGTTTGTAAACGTTAATGTCTGTAACGTTAATGTCTGTATTTAATGTCTGCTAAACTTACATTACGTTCAATGTCTGTACGTTAATGGTTTTCTGTAACGTAATGTAACGTTAATGTTACCGTTAAATGGTGTTAACGTTAATCTGTAACGTAATGACGTTATTGGTATGTAAGTTATGTAACGTTAATGTAACGTTAATGTAACGTTAATGTCTGTAACGTTAATGTAACGTTAATGGTTGTAACGTTTCCCTGCAGATCGTTTGCTTATCTGACTGTGAGAGACAGATTGCCGACCATCCTGACCAAAGTTGTAGACACAATACATCGCAACAAAAACAAGTTTTTTGAAGAATATGGAGAGGTGAGTGTTTAATTTTTGAATTCGAGTTGTTTTTTTGAACCTCTTCCTGAATTATGATTCTCATCTTCTTCCACTTACAGAAGGGCATCGAGGCAGAGAAGCAAACGATAGCTCTGCTGTCTAAGCTGAGGAATGAGCTGCAAACTGATAAACCAGTACTACCAGTGACCGACGGCCTGCAGGACACAGAGTCCTGGAACCGGTACCTGCAGAGGCATCAGAGACTGCAACAGGACCAGGACTCTGTGAGCTGGTTCAAGTCCCCGTGGCTCTATGTGGAGTGCTACATGTACCGCAGGATACAGGAGGCCATCTGGCTCAAGTGAGAAGCATTTACATCTTTTAATGGGAACCTTTTATCCAATGTTTCTCCAATATATCACTAAATTTGTTTAGTAGTTACTGACAATCTTAATTTAAGTCCTTCACACTAGATCGTTTCATCGTTAATCGTTACTTTAGACTACAAAATTGAGTGTCGTTCATCATATTGAATGTATTCAAGGATATTCCTTTTCTTTGTCCTTCACATTGTCTTCTCCAGTCATGATTTTATTTTTCATTTCTGATCATTTCAGCCCGCCCATCAGTGACTACGACTACTTTAATGAGGCGAAGACTCAGAGTTTTTTTGAGTCTCAGCAGGCTGTGATGACCTTATGTACATACGTGGAGGGTGTCAACAAGAACCTGGAGAAACTCTCCAAGAATCAGCTGTTTGAGCATTTTATCAAACTGCTCCAGGTCAGTATCTTCTACACCAGCTCAATACACGACGGTCAAACGAGAAAACTGCACCAATAATTAGATATACATCAACAACGGCTCAAATGATGTGTAATATGAACAGTCATGTTCTTTGCCCCAATCCCAATTTGAGTCATTTAATATTGAGTATCTGCTGATACCGAGTCCCAATCTAATACTTGTATTTTCCTAAATAATACAGCTAAATAACTCTGCATTGCATTAGAAAACAATGCATCCAAGCTAACTAAAGTAGGCTATAAAAAAGCCTCACAAACCCTCTCTGTCATATTCTTTTGTCTTGTTGCTGCCTGGAAGGAATTCCTCTCTCCCTTTAAAAGTGTCCTCCAGTGTTTGTAGCTTTGCTGCAGCCTTTGCCTGAATGAACTGTATTCTGTTTTTTTCGTCTGTACATCTTTTGCACGGATCACATTGATCAATTCTGCATACTGACTTTGTTCGCAGGGGCTTTTGTTGCACTGACAGTGGTGGAGTTGTTCAGTGTAGCTGAGACCGATCGGTTTAAAAAATGCCTTGATTAAGAAAAAATCCAAATAGATTTGAGTTTGACTTTTTTTCATTTGACTCTTCCCAGGTTTCTCTATGGGGGAACAAGTGTGATCTGTCTATCTCTGCTGGCCAAGAAAACTCACAGAAGATCAGTCCAATAGATTCCCTCAACAGCCTGCAGCCCTTCGTCCTGGTGAACGACTCCAACGCGGTATGGTCCACTCTTCTCGCTGCCCAGAAGCCGGGGCAGCCGGGCAGAGTGGACGTTGTTCTAGACAATGCTGGCTTTGAGTTAGTCACTGACTTGGTCTTAGCAGATTTCCTGGTTTCCTCCGGCCTTGCGCGTGAGGTCCATTTTCACGGCAAGTGCTTCCCGTGGTTTGTCTCTGATGTCACGGCCAGCGATTTTAAGTGGACCATTCAGCAGACGATGGCGGCCAATCACAAGTGGATGTCGAAGAGCGGTGCCCAGTGGCAGAGCTACCTGAAGCAGGGCGTGTGGTCCTATCGCGATCATCCTTTCTGGACACAGCCCCATGAGTTCTGTGACATGGCAGCTGATGCTCCTGACCTGTACGCCACCCTGCAGGGGGCAGACCTGCTGCTGTTCAAAGGGGATCTCAACTACAGAAAGCTGACGGGGGACAGGGACTGGGATCACACAGTGGGCTTCGATACTGCGCTGCGAGGTTTTGGGCCTGCGCCACTCTGTAGCCTGAGGACTCTCAAGGCCAACGTTCAGGTCGGTCTGCAGCCAGGTCAAGGGCAGAAGCTCACCTCCCAAGATCCAGACTGGATGACCAGCGGCAAGTACGCGGTCATTCAGTTCTACAGCCCAAAGTCCGAACAGTAAGAGTGACCTCAGGATCTCACTGGGAAGATGTGGATTCATAAGCAGGACTTACCTTTAAGCCATAAGACCATTAAGTTACACGGTGTTTTTGTTCCTCTTCGTCGGTTAGCACTTGTCATCATGTTTGATACAGAAATGCACAGAAACAAATGTTTAATAAATATTTTCACTACAGATTTGTACCATGTCATAGTTTAAAATGTTAGCACTTTTAGATCCAAATGATTCCCCATGATTTAAACACAGCGGTCGTTTACGTCGACAAATGTTTCCTCAGAGGTGACAAATCAAAGCAGATAGCTTATGTGTGTTTTTTTTTTGCGAGTAGTTTACATGTTGTGCACAGAAGTCATAATGTTTACAGGTTAATATAGATGCTGTTAACAATTATTGAGTAAGAATTGGACTTTATAAATCTCCATCCTAGAGCAGCAATATTTCAGTTTTTGCATGCCGTTGAGGAGAGTAATGATAAACGTAATATATAATCGTAATATATCATTTTTATTTTAATTCAGCTCAGGTTGTTTTACTGTTGCACTCAGTGTTATCGATATGCACGAATCAAAACAAAAAAAAATCGCTTAAGGCAGAACATAACATCATTTGATAGCTGCTCAGTTTAAAAGATGGCAGACTGTTTTTGGGGCAATGTTACAATAACAGTGGCAATGTGTGCTTGTTTTATTTAAAATGGCAACCCAGGTCTCTGTATCTTCATACATAAAAGTGGACGTCTCTGTGTACGCCGTTATGTCATCTAAATCCTCAATGTGTCAGTACTTCAGAGGTGATGTTAACTGGATTCTTCTCAGTGCTGCTGGGGGGAATGATATCATTTTCACTAATGGGTTGAATTTAATAAAGAACT